TCCCACCTGTTCCCCACTCTGTGTCTGCCCATCCATGCGGTGCTCAGACCTGGCCCTGGAGAGCTGCAAAGATCCTATCACTGCCCCAGGGTCGGGAGTGGTAAGAGGGGTTATAATTATGGGTTTCATCGAAATTGTGGCTGTGATGAGCACCGCTTTCCGCGGCTCCTCTGAGGATTCTGCCGGGGCCCTCCCCAAACCCTCCTGCCTGGGTGCCCCCAGAAGCAGGTGCTCCCAGCCCAGTGACTGACAACTTACTATGTGTGCTCAGCACTTTATGTGAAGTATCTTATTTAATCCTTACAAAGGGCACTATTTCCTCCATTTTACAGATGAGGAAACTGAGACTCCAGGAGGCAGAGTGACTCACCCTAAAGTAATTGGCCAAGACAGGCTGCAGGGTCTGCCTGGCTCCACAGCCCATGATCTTAACCTCCGCTCCAGCTGGCACCCTGAACAGAGCCAGAATCTGGTTGTGATCAGACGGTGAGAAAACCGGGCTCTGGGAACCAGCAGCCATGGGTTTGATTCTTGGCTGGGTCGCTGTGTGATCCTGCGCAGTCACATCACCTCTTTGAGCCTGGGTTTCCTCCCAGGTTTGCTGTGAGGACTAGATGAGAAAATATATACGTAAGGGTCTCTAAGTGCCTGGGGTAGATAAGGGTTCCATAAGGGTCAGGTACCATGTGTTCACTGTTGTTGTTATTGTCAGGCTTTATTGATGAAGAATCCTGAGATCACCTTCCACACAGATACAGACATCAGAGCATGAAGAAACTCCTTGATAGTGGACGTGCTACACGTGACATTTCCAATTTCATCCAGATCCTGAGTCATGAAGATGAGGACTGACTCACGGGGTTTCCATTTTGCTTCTATTAAGCCATCAAGTCATGGAATCTGTAGTAAGAAACAGGATCTTGAATGGAAAGCACATGAAACCGATCCCCTGATTTGCGTGTGTGAGTGGAATCCAGTCAATGAACCTCTCTGTTCCTGAGTTTCTCTCTAGCTGAACCTGTTGGTCTTTTTGCCAGGAGGCTCGTAGCGCCCACATTGTGGAGCCTGGAGCTCCCGGAGGGAAAGAGGTTTTAGAACTCCTGGATCCTCCTGTCCTTGTCCCCATTCCCTGTGACAGATGACTGGGAGGGGAAGATGCACAATAGGGCGAGGGAAGGGAGGGGAACGTTATTTACTGAACTGGGAGCACCTCTCCAAGACAGAACACGAACCCCGCTTCCCTCTGGGGCCCCGAGCAAGTATCACTCTGCTCTGTCGTGACTGCTGTGGTCACCTCCCTCAAACTTACTCACCTCTCCCAGAGGGGCAGGAAGGAAACACGGCGCCTGGCGTTGGGCAATCCTGAGGACCAGGCAGGGTCCCATTAAGCCCAGAGATGAACCCTGGGTTCCCATCTGCTGGGCCCCACCCCAGCTATGCCGGGGCTTCACCCGGAATTTATAAGCTTCACCACTTCGCCTGTTATTATGTCCCTCTTAATAACGAGCAGGCTTAGGACACTCAGGATTTCCTTCATTAGTATTTCCTCCTTCCTGAGCATTCTGTCTTCGGATTTTTACAGGTCGTTTACGGCCTTGCAAAGTTTGACACTGTACCAGGCAACTCGGTTTCTTTACTGGAAAGGACAAGGGGTGAGTTGAGGAACAGAAATGCCCAGCTGGTTCCAATGGACAGACAGGGAGCTACTGCAGCCCAGGTCAAGGTGGGCTCTTGCTCACCAATGGCCATGGGCTCGCCATTTCCCATCCCCAGAAGGGCAAACACGACACACACAGCTAGCGTGGAACTGAGGAGATTTTGTATATACATTTCTTTTAAAATTCAGAGGTCTAGAAATTGGTCTCCAAAGACAGCAGAGTTATTATATCCTGTTCACTGCTTTTTTGAGCTTCCTGGTTTCTGAGGTAGGTCTGTGTGGTTGCTTTCACCAAAGCCACTTTTCCTCAGCCTCAAGCTCTCTCAGGCTGAGGTGGGCGGGGAAGGGTTGGAGGTGAGGGGATGTAGGCCCAATCAGCAAAAACGCCTTTCTTTTCATTCTGTGGCATTTGACACACTGGCACGCTCAATAAAACGGGTGGCAGGCACAGTGGAGCCAAAGTGCTGATTCAACCATGTCACTTTCCTTTCATCTTGAGCCTTGACTCTTCAACAGCCATGCTTAACATGGAGAGACGGAGAAGTTTATCTCCTTAATAAGCCACCCTGAAGTTGCTCTGCTCAATCAGGACCATCTCCCAGGAGGCTGAGGGGATCATTTCTGGTTATATTAATAATTTACCTGGTGCGCCTAAGAACTATTGATATGGCCATTTTAAAACAAAAAACTACAAAGAAAAACCACTGATACATTTTTTTTTTAAAAAAAAGCAAGTTTATAAAACACAGTATCTTGTGTACAATTCCATTTTTGTGGAAAAAAATCCACCATGGACAGAAAAGTAGTTTGGAAGGTTTAAAATATTAGCATGGAATGGTGAAATAATGTGGTTTTTAAATTTATAGTTATTTATTGCCTTTGGTAATTTTGAAAAATTTCTCTGACAAATATACACTAGAGATTTAAAAAAAAAAAAAACATAAACCTGTAAACCCCAGGATATCTCTGGTAAATTAAATCCAAGCTTAGCTTAAACTCTCTCTCAGATTCAGGCAAAAAAAACCTAGATGTCATAGCTAATTTCTGCTTTAATACCACCTTCCTCAATTCAGGCTCACCTCCCCCCAAGCCCAGGGAGTTGAAGCTAAAGAGAAATCATCGTCCGTCATTTGTGTTTGATTCCGTAGCACATTTTTTTCCTAGACCTGGCTTCTTCCCATGATGAGAGCTGTCACAGAAGTACGTGGGGCGGGAGCCGCTGTCTTTCCCCAGCCCTAAAATATTTGGTTTCCCTTTGCCTCTGCTTTATCCTGAAAGGCCTGGGATTAGAACTGCTGTATAGTTCTCAGAGGGGGTTTGTTTATAACAATTTGCTAGTTAAACTTGGGTTGAGGCAACCAGACCTTGGAGTGTGGAACCAGCCTGCTCTCTCTCAGCCTTTCTGGGGCTGTGTTCTCAGCAGGACGCGGGACAGGCAGGGCCTCCCAGAGAGGCTGCTGTTATAAATCACTCCAGCTTCCTCAAAGACGGTCTGACTGCCTTCTCCCCTGACGTTCAGCCTGGAGAGTCTTGGCATCATCCCACTTTGAGGAAGGAGAGGGATTTATAAAAAAGATCTAGAAGATCAGGAGGATGACAACAGGTCGTCTAGAAGTAAAACAATATTTTGGCTATTTGAAGCCTGAAAACTGATTTTCAAACCCCACGTGGTAGTTTCCCACAGGATGGGGAGAAATACCCCAGCTCCCAAGGCAGGAGTCAGCTGACTGCCGGCCATCGCTCCTCTGATGGTTTCCTGGGCCTCCCTTCCGCCCTGCGTGGCCTGAGAGGAGGGCTTGCTGAGTGGCCCGGGGCCCCCTTGGGCCTGCTACCCTGCTGCTGTTTCAGATGAGAGGCTGCAGGCTTCAGAGGGAGGCAACCTCCCCGGAGAGTACCTTCACCCCAAGGAAGGCTGTATGAGGAGAGGGCTGGGTCAAACAGGGTATTCAAATGAATACCAGGCCCATGGTGGGCACTCAGTAAATGAGTGAATCTTGGAAAGCAGCAGTTAAGAATGCGGACTTTTGGAGCTGGTAGATTTGGGTTCACATCCCAGCGCTGCCACTAAGAGCCATGTGGCCTTGAGCAAATGGGAACCGAAGGCCCACTACATAGGGTTTTGAGGGGATTCAGTAAGAAAGCTCGAGTGTAGTGGAGAGCAGGGTGGGCAATCAAGAAACGAAAGCGTAAAAAATACCTGGGCAGCACGAGGGAATGTGGGGAGCAATAGAATGTTTTGTATCTTGATTGTGGTGGAGGACACACAATGTTATGCATTTGTCAAACCCCCAGAACTGCACACCACAGAGCGTGAACTGTACTTTACGTAAATTTTAAAAAATCAGTTATCTCGAAGATTCCTTCTGGTTTTTACATTCTACGGATTTCCTCACCTATAAGATAGAGCTGTTGAAAAGGAATGATAAAATTGATATGATTTTGCATCATGGAGGGAAGAAAAGGGTCTGTGTACTCTAACGGCTTCATTCATTCACCCCAGTGTCCTAGTACCAATCTACCTCCGGTCCCTTCAGGATTCACCTAGGGAATGGCCAAAGATGGCCAATCAGAACCTCATTCCATCACCTGGAGCAGCGATACGTCAGAGCTTCATTGTCCAACACGGTAGCCACTGGTCACATGTGGCTATTGAGACTTGAATTGTGGCCATGTGACTGAGGAACTGAATTTTACTTTTTTTTAAAATTAATTTACATTTAAATTTGGAAATTGAATCAGTGTAAGATATTTTCCTATTAAAGACAACCGTATTGTTCTGGTAGGACTACATTTTATTTTTAATATATTTTATCATTAATTTTTTTATTGAGATATAATTTATATACCATTAAGTTCACCATTTTGAAGCATAGAATTCAGCGGCTGTTAGTATATTCACAAGGTTGTGCAACCATCACCACGAATTCCAGAACATTTCATCACCCCAAAAAGAAACCCCGTACCTATTAGTAGTCACTCTGCATTCTCCCTTACCCCCAGCCCCTGGCAACCATAATCTACTTTCTGTTTCTATGGATTTGCCTGTTCTGGACATTTCATATAAATGGAATCATACAATATATGGTCTTTTCTGTCTGGCTTCTTTCACTTAGCTTATGTTTTCAAGATTTCCTCCATGTGGCACTTTATTCCTTTCTATGGCTGAATAATATTCCGTTGTAAGAATATACCACCTTTTGTTTATCTATTCATCAGGTGATGGACATTTAGGTTGTTTCTACTTTTTTCGCTACTAACCCTGGAAAATGCAGCAGACAAATTGAGAGGTGTTGCAGGTGTAAAGTACATACCAGATTTCAAAGACTTGTACAAAAAAAGAATATAAAATACCTCGTTAATACTTTATATTGATAACACGTTGAAATAATGTTTTTTATATATTGGGTTAAATGAAATATGTCATTTTTTTCTTTTTTAAAAAGAATTAGCCTAGAAACAAGGCAGAGGAGGTGTGAGCTGTTGAGGGGGCAGGACCCTTCCTCGCAGGATCTCGTCCTTCAGCACCCTGCCCAGTGGTGGACCTGAAACTATGAGCCAGGTTGGGATGGCAGCAGGAGCAGCCACTCTGGAGTCACCCTGCCTTGGCGCCAAGGGGAGCTGCAGAGACGATGCGTCCAGGCAGGAGCTGGTAGGTGACTTCCCTCCTGGGAGGGGACCCGGGACAGTAATTATTGGACAAAAGGAGTAATTGGAGTGGCCCGTGACAACAATGGCTTTTTCCCTGTGCCGGGCTGCAGAGTTGCTCAAGTCCCCACACGCTCCTGGGCTCCTCTCCCTGGCCCAGGAGCAGGGGCAGCAACAGGAGAGGCTTCCTTTCCTCTGGGCACCAGGTGGCTGGCTCCTGAGCAGCCATCAGGAGGTTGGAGCTCCGGCCCTGCTCTGTCACTACCTTGCTGTGTGTCCTTGGGCAAGTCCCTTCCACTCTCTGGGCCTTGTCAGATGAGGGAATTGGATTAGATAATCTAGAAGATGTTTTCCAGCTTTAACATTTTAGGGTCCTGAAAAAAGTCCCAAGTCAGATAGACGTGAGATCAAATCCTGGCTTTAAAATGCTGGCTGTGTACTACTTGGCTCCTCGTTCCTATCTTTAAAATGGAGTAAATAATGAATAGTTACCTCTCAGGGTGACTGTAAGGTCTAAATCAGATCATCGTTGCTGACACTTGGTGCTTACTATGCACCAAGCATGGTCCTGAGTGCTCTGCACAGATGAGCTTGTTGAATCTTCCCGCCAAGCCCTCTCAGGCAGGTCTCATTAGTCCCATCGCCTGAGTTCATAGAGTGAAACGTCTCAGAGCAACGGTGTTGACTTGGGTTGCCTAGTCCAGAGTCTGTTTCCTTACCCACCACGCTGACCTGCCTCCAGCACAGACAGAAGACATCATAAACCCTCAGTGAATGTTGGAGGGGGGGGGGGGCAGAACTCCATGATGGTTACAGTACTAGTGGAAACACTATTAAGCTGCCCATTAAACAGATGGGGACACCAAGCCCAAAAGGATGAAGTGACGTGTCCTGGGCCACCGCCAAAATGGTGACAGAGCGAAACCTGAGTATCCTGGCTTGGAGCTCTCCTAAGTATTTGAAACTGGAGTGGATCTCAGGTTACACATGCAAATCTGCTGGCAGATAAGTGGCCCCAACCCAGGCTGATCTCAGGACTTATCACCTGGCTGATTAATACCTGAATATCAGGGCAGCGCTTCTGGAAATGCCTCTGTCTCCCTCTGTGCACAGTCTCCGAATTTCATCCAGGTACAATTCTTAGTTGCTAGACTTGCATTTGATAAGAATTGGCTGTCCAGGGAACTTAAAAAGTCGCCCTTGGCTTCTGAGACTCAGTTCAGATATTTCTTGAGTGTTTACTGTGGGTCGAGCATGCACCAGGCATGGGAGCTACCCAGAGATGAAGGAACTATCTCCCTGCCCTGCCCTCCGGGAGTTCCCAGTTGAATCAGACAGATAGAAGACATTCCCTTGCTCAAGAATAATTGCTTAAAGATGGACAAAAATGATAAAAGCCAGTGTTGGTGACGGTGCAGGGAAACAGTCCCTCTCATCCCCTGATGGTGAGAAGGGAACTTGGCACATTTCTGGAGCGCAGTTTGGTACAGGTATCAAAAGTCATAAAATTGTGTCAACCCTTAAAACCCTGAAATTCTACTTCTTGAAATTGGCCCCAAGGAAGCAATTATAGCTGGGTACAAAGATTTAGCCACAGTTATGTTAATGCGGCATTGTTTATAATAATTCAATTCTGGATATAACCTGAGTGTCCATCAATGGGGGACTGGTAAATGTGACCTTCCACACAAAGGTCATCGTAGAATATTTAATGTTGGAAAGAGATTCACATTGTTGCCTAGTGGGGAAAAGGCAGGTTACAAACAGTATCCATAGTGTGAAGGCATTTTGTTGGTAAGAATACGTATTTGCGATAATAAGAGCTAACATTCGTTGAGTCACTTTTAGGCATTATTTCAATCCTAT